CAAATGAAAGAGCATTTGCTTTTCCAAGTTTGTCTGCGTTTCGTTTCTGTCCGTCTAGTGCATCTGCAATAGAGTCTCGAATGAAGCGGACAACTGCTTCGCGAGTCAGCAGCAATTCCTCTGCTGATTCATCCTTGTCAACAGCAGTGCGATTCGTGTGCACTGCTGAAAGACGTCGTCTTCACCAGTACGGGTGTCACTCGTCCTCACTTTTACAGTCATTGGCGATGCTGAATATACCAGCATCGTCGTCATCATCATCATCGATATCAATCGCATCGACATCGGCATCCATCCCGTCGACACCATTGTCGATGGGTGATAAGCAAGAACCAGATCGGTTTTTGTTCGAGTGAGTCTACCTCCCCCCACTTAAACTCGAGTCACACTCTAAAAAGGCGGGTGAACGTGGATGGCGTAGACCATTCACGAAGAACGGTGTATGCGTTGTCGACGCATGCACCGATTTTTGATGGCGAATTCCGCCGTCGGCAAAAACTCACTCCAGCTCGTAAACGAGTGTACATACCCTCGAAGTGTCTCTTCGAGAACGCGGTTGACGCGTTCCGTTTGACCATCTGTTTCGGGATGGTCAGAAGTTGACATCGTCAAACGTGTTCCAAGTGAACGGAAAACGAATTGCCAGAGCTCCGCTGTGAAGCGGGGGTCCCTATCGGACACGAGTTCACGGGGTAACCCGCTAAGTCACGAGATAGTATCGATGAAGACACGAGCACAGACCTGGGCTGTGATTGACTCCGTTACAGCAACAAGATGTACCATCTTGCTGAACCGATCAACAAACACAAGAATACCAGTATTCTTGTGAGCGTCTTTGGGAAACCCGAAGACGAAGTCCATCGATACGAACTGCTAACACTCTGCCGGAATCGGAAGAGGCTACAAGGGTGCGCGGGATGAAAGACTAGGCTTCACCCGTTGACAAACTTCGCAAGCGCGAATGTATTTGTGCACAAACTCATACTGGCGCGGCCAGCAGAAGTCACGACTCACCGTGAGGTAAGTCTTTTCTCTACCGCGATTCCCACTTGTTGGGGCATCGTGACACTCATACATGATGCTCAGTCGAAAATCATTATGAGCGGTAACGACGACACGGGGTCTGTCGCCGTTGACTGCTGTATAGTACAGCACTCCATCACGAACCGAATACCGTTCGGGGGACGAGCTGTATTGAGACGACAAGCTTTTCAAAGCTTGGCTGCACGGATTGGATACGTAATCCATCAATCGCAGAAGAGACTTATCTTCTGCGTATGCTTTTTGCACGTCGTCGAGTAGATTCGACGACGGAACACTCACTGTTATTGTCGCTCCAGTGGTATCACCCCTACTAAAGCGTTGAGCAGTCGGCTCGAAATCGGGCCAACGGGAAAGAGCATCAGCGACGACATCAAGTCGTCCAGATCTATGCTCGACAAAGAAGTTCTACCCAGCGAAGAAGTACAGCAACCTCGCCATTCGTTACGAGCGCTGTTTACAGCTGTGCGTAGCGACGCATGGTCGGTATAAATGATGAAGGGCATATCTCCTAAGAGATGTACCCGAAACTTAGCCAGTGCGTATTTCATAGCGAGGAGTTCCTTGTCATGCACCGGGCAATTTCGCTCAGCTGATTGCAGCTGACGCGATTGATAACAGACGACGCGCTCAACGCCGTCTGAGTTGTGCTGCATTAACGTCCAGCCGATTGCAAACTCGCTGGCGTCACAGACCACATGGAATGGTCTATCCTGATCTGCAATTGCCAACACAGGCGATTGTATCAAGCCGATCTTGATGCTTTCAAAAGAGTGCTGACACTCAGCGCTCCGTGATCACCTCTTCTTAATCTTTAACAGACGAGAGAGATGTATGGTCATCTCGGCGTAGTTGCGCGCGTGCAAGTAAGCCGCCAAGTGAAGGAACTTTCGAAGTCCCTTGACGTCGACTGGCACAGACTCGTACTCTGTACTCGTGCAAGTAAGCCGCCAAGTGAAGGAACTTTCGAAGTCCCTTGACGTCGACTGGCACAGACCAGTCGCTAATCGCCTTGATCTTTTTTGGATCAGGGCGTGCACCGTTTTTACCCACGATGCAGCCAAGAAGTGGTATTTTGTTCGCTGCGAATACACACTTCTTGAGGTTCGCGAACAACTCATGCTCTCGCATTAGAGTAAGAACCTTCCGGACGTGAATTCTATGAACCTCCACGTCCGTCTTTCCATTCATAGCCCGGCCATGGACGAAGAAATCGTCAAAGTAACTCGGTGCGAAATCGCGCACCGATCTCAACAGATTTGTAAGACATCTGTTGAAAGTTGCAGGGGCGTTACTTAGCCCCTGTGGCATTACTAGCCACTCCCAGAGCATACCACTGGGAGTGCTCACTGCTATGTATGGGATGTCCCGTTCACGCATGAGGATCTGATAGAATCCATCCATCAAATCCATGGACGAAAAGATGGTACTTTTTGCCATACCATCTATGATGACGTCCTTCCTTGGGATCGACGTTTGAGCCGGTACCGCTGCAGATTTCAATTCGTTGAACGCGTGCACTTTCAGCCACCCTCCGGTGGCCTTTAGCACACAGAAGGTTGGAGCGATTTGTGGGGAAGTTGATTCCCTAACATGACCCGCCGCTAAACGATCGGCAAAGAAATTGTCGATCGCTGTGACCTGTTCAGGAGGCAGTAACCACTGCTTCATGACGCAGTATTTCGAACCAGGTTTCAGCTTGATCTCATACTGAGTGCCTTTGTCCTTGGGCATCTCGCATGGCACGAATTACGGAAAACATTCCTGAATTCAACCAAACCCCTTATATCAAGCATTTGTCCATAAAGACTCCCAATATTGAGCCGTATATCGCTCAATCCGAGTCTTTTCATCGAGGACACTCTCGTCCATAGATGAGCTACTGAGAACCCGTTCTTTCTCAGCAAACACTTGAGACGACCGAATATCCGCGACGTACTCGTCCTCTATGACGAGTACGCAGATCTGCTTGAATTTGTCACAACGCAGATCTCGAAAGATTCTTTTAGATTCTAGCGTTGGCAACTTGACTACCTCCAAAGCTGAATTCAGAGATGTAACCAGATCAAGCGTTGTTAGCGCCTACGCTTAATCCGTCACTCACCAAGACATCTCTGACTCGGTGAATCCTGGAAATACACATCCGTAGGTGATTGGGGAAACACACCCTCGGCATAACTCTCTCGGGGGTTGTCGCTCTCAGGAACGCTGAAACTTTCTTCCAATGCGTGTACTGACTGTGACTGTACTACCACAGTCACGTTCTCTTCGATCGACTCTCTTTTAGTCGATCGGGCTTGCTCTACGATCGACTCTTTTTTAGTCTATCTCCATAACGTGTTGTTCATTCTAGACAACGCTGACCTCTCTTCTCGGATGCACCCTTCTTGGTGTGCATCCGTGTTCCAGTCCACTTGATCTCTTCGAGTGGTGGACCTTCGGCGCAGCCTGTGTCTCTACACAGGTCCCGGAAGATGGTTCCACAGTGTAGTGGTCTTCTACAATGTGATCTTGTGCAGTCGTACTAACGACCGTACCACAAGTGGGGCCATCGCACTCACTCGTAGTACATCCACACGCTTGTGGACGCTCCAAAACGTTCATCAGATGGCCATCTGATGAATAAACGGCGGGCATCCTCACGGATCGATGCTGTCAGCTAACCCATGACCGGTACTTTCTAAGCCATGGCAGACCAAGGATGACATCCAATTTGTCATCCAAATCAGTATGATGAAGTCATCATCGTACTGCTTTCCTTCTAGCGTGTAGTGGATACCCACTACAGGTTTTTGCGCCGTTACGGATGCGCCTGTTGCAAGGCATACCGTCATCCTCGTTGGAGGGAACTCTCGCTCAACATAGTTGAGACTACTATCCCTAAGCGACTGGCGTCGGATAAAACTGTTCGAAGAACGACAGTCAACTAGGGCGCGAAGTGACATTCCACTTGTCACTTTGATCTTCAAAGTGATGAGAGACTCACCATCACTAAGGGCAGTGACACACAGAGACTGCGTGTTGAGAGCAATCTTCGTCAAGAGTCCTACAAATTCTCTTGACGTTGCTGGATCAGCAGGGTGCTCCGCCCCTACTGACCCTGACCGTTTTTTGACGGTCCGACTTGCTGTCGCGTCTTGGCGACATGGTCGGACCCACGCCTTGGACCTTTCCTCGGCCAGCGGCGGCCATCATGTCCTGTCTTTGGATGTGCTTGGGACACTACACTCATGGGCGTCGTGCCAATCTTCTGACAGCGATGGCATCTTGCTGATCGCTTGTGGCTCGGAAAGCGAGAGTTCTCGCCCTCGATGTAACAGAGGTCCATTGGTTCGGGACCTCCTGTTTCCTGTCGTCTCGTCGGACGATAATTTGATGAGTTAGCCTGAGACTGTCTCAGGCTGAAGGCTTGTTGTTCTGCATACGCTATCGCCTTTTCCAGCGTATGGAAGTCCTCTAGGAACATGTAGGTATTCACCGATCCATCTACAAGGCCGTAGATGAAGGCGTTGATGAGCGTGTGATCATCAACATATATTCCGCGACGCTACTTGCAAGGTAGTGTAGGTGTTATGCGTAAGCATGTACATCACACTTACCTTGCTATAGCCTCAAGAGTGCAGAGCGTGATCTGGACTCGGCTCTCGGCAGCTCTAACGTCTCTTTGAGCCGAGACATCAAGATCTCCAACGACTCATACACGTTTGGGTCATGAAGCTTGAGCCCTAAGGCCCAAGTCTTTGCTCGTCCCGTCAAATTTGACAGGATAAAGGTGACTTGCATCTCGTCACCCTCGATGTGACGGACCCTGATGGCATCGTCTAACTCGTGGAACCATCTCAAAAGGGAATCTTCGTCGGTTTCCTTGTACCTTGAGATATTAATATTCATGGTTCCGTGTCGACGCATGTGCGTCGGCCCGCCCATCGACTGATGAGAGCCTTGCTGCTGTAGCAAGGCTATCTTCTGTTCTTCGACAGCAAGTCCCCCTTGTAGGAACTTGTTGATGGCAGCATTTTGCTTAGAGACTCCAACATGCCACTGGTGGCGGGTTCGCCCATGAGCACACTCATGCGGCCGACTACCTCCCATTCCGAGTCACTCAAATGGGAGTAGCATTCACGTGTGACGTGAAAGATGTCATCTTCTACGTCCAACATGTTCATGTTGGACGGACACTAAGTAGTCGTCGGACGGACTACGAAGTGCTACCAGGTGTAAAGAAGCACCCTTTGTGTGGGGTGCCACGAAACTTCACGTGTTTTCGTACGTGCATAGGAATCTAATCTACTTAACAACTAGTTTGAGCAAAGGTTAAAGGAGAACTGTATTTCATGTAGTTGAGCTATCAATGTAACTCTAATTTTTATCGAACTATACTAATCTACATTGTCGTATCACGACAACCTGCCCACCACTCATTGCGCGCGTCTAGTAGCGATTGGTGGCAATCGATGGTTGATATGTCTTTAATCAACGAATCTTGGAGCATGGCTTAAATATTATCCATCCTGGATAATATTAGGAAAGAATTGTCATGCTAGACAATATTCCTATTGACAACGTTTGGTGTCAATTTCATGTAACGGGCTACCCCGTTACATTTTCCTTGACGTGAGTTATGCTGGTTGTGATCAAATAGAAAGTAATGACTGATTAACGTAAGAGTGCTATTTGTGGCGTCTTCTTGGTCTCTTCCTCGTTGAGTTCAGTCGTCACTCCAATCCGATGCATATTAGTGATGTGGTTTTTACATTTTGTCGAACACGATCTGAAACATCTTGAAATTATCGAGCCAATGTCCTGTCGAGCAAATAATGGGAGGTACCACTGAAATAACCAAGGTCAAGGTACTAGGCAAAGCCTACTAGAGCATTACAACATGGTGCAGCCGGTACGAAGTATCTCCTCGTGAGAGTGTTCGGATTGGCGAACGAGGGGCTACCGAAGACGCAATGGCGATGCCGCGAAAACAGTACTGACATTCTATGAAGTGCATAAGCACCGTATCGCGCTTTTCAATTTCCCAGGCGGCTGTTCGATATCCGATCGGTTTCGTCAAAGTGTCGCGGCTGCTGGACCACCTTGAGCACGAGCCTCGAGCGTGGCACGCAAGTCTCAAGGTGTTTAAAACATACACCTCACACTTGCAGACTTGCTACTTACAAACGTCCGTATTGCAATGATCGTGGCTTTCCACGTCCGGCGCGCATACATCACGTACCCGACAAGGTCAGCGATGCGGTTCGTCTGTCACAGCGTGTGCGTAGCGAACCGCGATAAAGGAAGGGTTACCAACCCGTAGGTTTGTGGACTCTCGCATGATCCCGCCTTCGTTCAGTTGTAGATAAATCGTACCATGAAATCAATCCCTGGCTCAGAATGCGGTGCCGGACTGCTGACAAAGGTTATGCGACTCGACTGTGAGAGGTGTTGTTTGACGTTACATACAGGTTGCCACCAGGCCCCAACGACAGCAACGTACACCGTAAACTACCACCTCTATCACCGCAGTGGGTACTCGCAAAAGAAGCCACAACTTGCCCGAATCGGAATGTAAAAGCGCGTGGTAGCGCTGGCGGCTGTGTTTGAGATTTGAGGTGACCGTTGGTCATGCTCTCTCCGCTTTGCTGTTGGCGTTACACACAAACTGGCGTACCTGATGGCAGTGTTAGCAACATTCCCCATAGCCATGCGAACACTTGTCAAGACTGACTGTGCACGCTACCGCATCCAGTACGGCGAAGCAATGGAAAGTGCCGTAGTATCGCAGTTGAAGTGTGCAGTACCGTACTGGACCAGCCACATGGACTACCTCCAGTCTGCTAATCGACACAGTCGGAATCGATCACAACGACGATCATGTCGTCGATACAACGAGTTGTCTAGAGAAAGTCGAGGCCGTCAAGAATTCGCACAACAGCGACCTTTTCTGCGACTGCGCGAAGGTTGTCGTGTCGTGCACGCCGCTCGCGCTTTGTCCAGACCGGACAGACCCTTTTGGAGCTAGCGAAACCGACTTGCTTCAAGCGGACAACCAGTTGCGTAGACGCTGGAAATCGCACTCACCGGCATTGCCTTAAGTTCAAAATCTGACGCTTTGCTGATGATGATAATGACGACTACTGAACTGGATAGCATAGCCCACATTAGACGCTAGGACTCAAGCGCTCCTTCCTTCCCTGCTGCTCGCGATCGCCAGCACGGTGTCGGCTGTCCATACAACCATATGAAAATTGTCTACAAAGATGGGACTGCATCAGACCACCACTTGGTACACTTGGTCTCCACGCATCACAATCGTATTTCCGTTCCCTGCCACGAACTCACACAATCTCGCACTCCGTCCGTCAGTTCCGGTAGAAAACGGAGTGTCTGGATTACATCATTGAGAGACAATTGGTGTGACCCGAGAGAGGCGGGATGAATCTCCGTCGATGGACCATTTCGCTCTGTATGAGTGTCGTGGGTCTTACTGGCACCCCTTTGTGGAGTGAAGCACAGGCTAGTGAGTGTAAAGCCAAAGACAAAGCCTTTGGGTTCCTCGTAAACAAGCTGCCAACGGCCTACGGGCTTAACACTTGCGTGGCCAACAACGTGGGAACCATCGCTTCGGCACTTGCTAGCACCTTTTTCAGCAGCTGTGGCATGATGGACGTCTACGATTTGGTCAAGAACGAGGACTTCAACCACCTCGTTACTTTGATGCGCGACATCTCGACGAAACCCGCGGACATCTCGCGACTTGTTTATAATTACATGGCTGGCCAGAGTGATGACGCGGTGGACGACCTTTGTGATGCCTTTAGCGGTGCGTTCGGACCCTGCGGAGGGAAAGTTATCCCGAAACTGCTGCCTGCACTCCAAAAGGACGACAAATGCTGCGCTGAATTTAGTGATTTGATTGATCTGCTGAACATCGTTATTGCCCCCGACAAGGACATGAGCTATTTCCTGGTCATCGAACTCATTAACGGCTTCAACCAAATGATCTGCTCGAAAAAGGGGCGCAACTCTTGTGGGCTCCATATCTTTCAACAATACACAAAGATGTACACGCTGGAGACCTTTGACTTTTTCCAGCACATGGTGCTGCCGTTCATGACCATTGGCGCGGGGGAAGAGTGCGCAGGTTTGTCGGGTAAACCGTACCAGGACACGGGCTCAAAGAAGCCAGCGACGACCATTGATTTCGGCTGCTGTGTTCATCATTTGCGGCCGTTCGTTCAGACGATACAAAGCATTGCCAAGAATGTTTTTGGTGATTCGGTATGGGATATCGTTGGCGGCATGGTCTCGTACACGGCTCCCGATGGTGCTTTTGTCGATACTCTTGCAGGGACTATGGAGTGTCAATTCGATAAGTGCAAGAACCCAAAGGGTATGGCTGGTGATCTTGAAAATCTCCGTCCCGTTGGTGCGAAAGACCCGGGCAAGAACATTTTGATTGATACCAAGTGCACCCTTGTGGAAAAGTGTAGTGGAGACAAGTCAGTATGCAGCCAAGTCTGCGACAGAGGCTCAGTCGTTGTTCCAGACTGGCTCAAGTCAAGTCTAGATTACCAGCGAAATCTAGCGTTCAGTGGTCCAATTTGCCTCGCACAGCTTCCTGCTTCGCACAACAGCGCAATCAACTTAGCTGATGGCTTTGGAAACCGCGACCAGCTCTTCAACAAAAACCTCGACGTGGATAAACCGTGGTCGTACTTGAAGACCAATAACCAGGTGCTGAGTATGACGGACCAGCTTGACATTGGCATCCGCTTCCTTGAAATTGACACACACTTTTTCTTGAACGATGTACGCACTGGACACTGTGGTGCCCTTGGTATGCCCGCTGTCACGGAGTTTATTAATGCATTAGGCAAGACGCTCGGAAACTACGGCAAGTTTACTTGGGGTGCCGAGCTGTTGGGCTGTTTTCCTTCAATTTCTGGAATCAAGGCTTCGGAGCAGCCTTTGACGAGAGACTCACTGGATGAGGTGAAGGCTTGGCTCAATGCGCACCCGACGGAGTTTGTTGTGGTTTATTTGGACACGGGTGCAGACATGAAACGATTGGACAAGCTGGGCGCTATCGATACTCTGTTCAGCGATACGTTTGGTGACTTGCTTGTTCCAGTTGAGGCTCTCGATAAGCTTGCACAGGGCAAGTGGGCGGGTGGTAGCATAAACGAGTTCGTTGACGCTGGCCATCAAGTTTTACCCCTGGCAAACTCGAAAACGGCGAATGCTTACAAACTGTATGACATGTGCACTGAAAAGGATCTCAAGGTCGATCACATTGACGACATGCCTAACGACAAGCAACAAATCGGTGGACTGACAATTTACAGCAAGACAAGCTGGATCCGTACGTGGGCAGAGCAGATTCGCTACATATCCATGTCTGCAACTGGAAGCGTAACGCGAGAGCTGCCGGTCGTTCTGGATGCTGAAACAATTCCTAAGTTTTTGCGATGGAATCTCAATCTCATCGCCCTTGACAACGTAGACGTGGCCAAGATGGCCGCCCACGTATGGTCTTGGGCTGTCGACGAGCCTAGCGTTACGGAGGCTGAGGCGAGTGTGCTCATGGACGTGCACGGTCGTTGGGTGGCTAGTATTGATGCCGAGAAGAAGTCTCGGGCTTGCTGGAATGATGCAAAGTTGGCGTGGTCCATCGTGCCTTTTGCAGAGGATTGCCCTGCTGGAACTACTTTTACGGCTCCGATGGATCCTTACCAGAACCACCTGTTGCACGAGGCACTCGTTGCTAAAGATATCAAGGACACTTCGTTGGTCATAAATGCAACTCTGATGGCAGTCGGAGCACCCACTCCAGCACCTTCGGCAATGGCAGTCGTCGTGCTGCCAACGAACTCTTCGACGATATCATTATCATCATCATCAGGAGATGCAGCAATTACGCAGGATGATTCCTCGTCGATATCATCATCATCATCCTCAGGTTATCAAGAAGAAATGATCTCTTCGACAGCATCCTCATCATCAGCAGATGCAGCTATAACACAGGATGATACCTCGTCGATATTGTCATCGTCTTTAGAAGATGCAGACATATCGGAGGGTGGTGTCTCATCGACATCATCAGCGACTTCAGGAGATGCAGTCAATATGGAGGATGATACCTCATCGACCTCATCAGCGTCTTCAGGAGACGCAGCCGATATGGAGGATGATGTCTTATTGACATCATCAGCGTTTTCAGAAGATGAAGCCACAACGGAGGACAACTCCTCTTTACCGTCATCGACATCTTTAAGTGATTCAGATGTTACGCAGACTGAGCTCATCTGGACGACACCACCACCGCCATCATCGTCTTTACAAGATGCGGTGGATGCGCGCACACATGGCCACAGAACGATAGCCGGTGTGCGAGCTCGCGAAGATGAAGCCGCTATGGAGGATGATACGTCTCCGACATTATCTGCAGAAGATGAGGTGGATACGCAGACTGATGTTTTCACAAAGAGTGCTGAGACAAGAAATCACGAAGATGTTGATCGGAAGGATGTTTTCCTCCAACGACTTAAGAAGTATATGTCAGAACATTGAAGCCGATAAACAAATCGAATCCAGCGGCGGCACGTCTCGAATACAACTCGTGTCGCTTATCCTTACAGCTTGCGTTTTGTTAGCGTGAAGCGTTTTTGTAGAGGACAACTAGATAATGTCCAACAAGCTTCCGAACGAGCGGAAAGTTTTGCTTATCTAATCAACCTGCAGGTCTCCTTAAATAAAGGGAACTGTTAATCTCATCTCGGTTTTCTGGCAAAACTTCCTCAGTTTGATATAACGCTACATGTTTGGCTAACAAGGAGTCACGAATAGAGGGAACGATGTCTATATCAGTTGGATTTATAGGTCATTTTTGTCGTGATCGTATACAATTGATCATTTCCTGCGCACAATTGTCGTGTGGTGGACGCCATTGTCGGCGTTCTAGCCACAGTTGGCGATGTCCTTGAATCAAATGATGTGAGTTAGTGAGTCGGTGTAAAGCCATCATATTGAACCAAAGCAAGCAACAACCAGCATCACTGATGTAATAAATTTATTAGAATTTGCGAAGAAGATGCAGTTGTTGCATAAGGTTGGTCACAATGCATAACGATGTAGAAGTTTGATCGAACCATCACCTACCGAACTTAACGGTACTAATGTGTAGCTTAAAGCAACGTGGACTGTATTCCTCAGTATGAATCTATTAGCTTTGTAGGCACTATCACTCTTGCATTGATTAAATTGACCCTTTATAATACGAACACACAGTTCTCTCGGCTTCATTGGCAAAACTAGATTATCGGAAAGCAGTATATCACTTGTTGCGGTGCCTTAACATCTCCGTGATAATAGGAGTATCCGTTGTAGCTACGCAGTCGCGCTTGTCAAAAGCTTCCTATACACGACCATCTTTAACATCCTCCCGTATAATATAGTGCGAACCTACGTTGCACATAAATAGATCCGGAACAGCACAGGAATATAGGAATCTGCACAGTAACTAGCAGGACAAAAAACTTTAACACGTCTCGCGTGCACACGACACGGACGATCCGATTACGCTCAAAATTGATAATAAAGAAAGAAACAACATTACTACTCAATAGAGCAGGAACCTTAGCATATAAGCATGAGACGGATTGCTTGCTGTTGTAGAGACATCGGCTTAAGAATAGGGAATTGATATATCCACATCTCTTTCCGTTAAATTTACAACCTTCAATAATAAATCAATATTCGCATCTCATATCTAATATAAATTTCTTGAGGTATACATTTAATTCATAGGTTTATTGCCCACCATGCAAACATCAATGGATAGAGGGGGTTGTTTATTTTTACTTCCTTTTTGGTTAGATTCAGTCTTTTTTTTGTTAAATAACACATGTTGCAATTAGTAGTCGTTGGTTAGTAGTTGCTAAGTATACTTGTTTTCTCCTACATACCCACATAAGCCGAAGGATGGTCATGACTATATCATAGCGCCTGGTAGTCTTGCGGTCCCACCAATTGTCATTGCTTGATAACAGAACGATGCCATTGGGAGATAAGATGGCAGCAAATCTCTTTCGTACACATTTAGCCGATAATTATAAGTGTACTAGCAAGAACTCGTCCACGTCTAGCTACACAATATTATTTTAATCCGTTCACTATACAAGGTACTTCAAGGCTACAAAACTAACCCTAATGAGCAAAAACTCCTATCGATATCTAAAAGTGACAAGCTGATTGCGTGCAGCTTTAATTGGCATTTACAGACAAGAATAACAATGAATATCTTAAGAAGTAGATGGAATGAAAAAGAGGAAAGCAGAAGACGAAAGAGACAGAAACGGTGGTAATTAAGACGATGAAATGCATTTAAGCACATTTAGAGATCATCAGAAGCAACTAGATAGATGTAACACGACGAAGATGAAGGAGACCTTATAGAGTAATTACAAAGTATAGTTTGCGTATCTATTATTATTATTTAGTATTATCATGAGCACCATGCGATACCGCACTTTGATATTCGTCTTCTTATCGACACATTAAATTGTCTAAAACGAAAATTTGCGCGTTTACGTGAAATTGACAACCACTCGTAATTATGTCCTTTGTTCTATTTTTATATAGTGTTGCCATCGTCAAACCTCCACCGAAACTGAAAGCCGCTGCGGTTATAATTTCAATTCTTACAAATTCAAAATGCGTCGTAATTATGCGGTGGCTAGTTTGGTATCAAGAATACTGTAAGTGCAGAGTATAAGAATTGTACCGACCGAACGTGTCGTAGCATAGGAGCCAGAGATGAGAAATCACGGCGAATTTCATACCAGGTACAATCTTGAGATGAATGCACTAATGTGAATTCTCCTTTAAGTGGGATGGTACTGCATTATGTGGTCTGCTAAACGGGCATATTTTACAAGAATAAACATTAAATTTAGTTAGCTGATTCGAATGTTTACTTAATGAAAGAAAAGGGAGTGAATCGAATCAAAGAGGGAGTGAGTCTGACAATTTCCTAGATTCAACAATATTGACACATACAAAAGTGTCTTCCATCTAGCCAATTATAGCTTAAAGCGGCTATATAATGCGAAAATTTTACAATTTTTCGGTTCAGCTGATACATGCTGCTTTGTTAGTAGCCTTTTCCTCTAGATACAAATAATGTGCACCAAATGAGAGACCGACAGCATTCAATTCACACGTTTGCATCTCACAGGATGCCTGCATTTATAACAGCTCACGCTTTCGCCCATAAAATTAAACGAGAGACCATCGGAAACTCGCAATGATCTTATAAGATTATGCACTCACACCTGTACTTTCTTTCATCATTTAAAATGTCGCGAAAAGAGCTTTGATCGTGCGTTTGTTCCACGGCCCAACCACAAGAGTTGCTAAAGCTGAGTACAATGAGGTAACTAGGCGTAATGCGTGCTGTTATGGCATTCCAGCTACTTTATGTCTCTGAATATTCAGTTTGGAATTTTCCTTTTTCTTTTCATCTAAACGGACTGTGGGCGGTTTGGAGGATTAATAGATGGACATTACAGGAGGTCGAGGAGAGTATCCACAACACTTGTAATTATGGAATCATTTCATGAATATGGTACAAAATGAAATAATTCCATAATTACAAGTGTTGTGGATACTCTCCGAGGTCATCGCCATGTAGTCTTCTAATCAACATATTTGTATACTATTGATTATAAAACTACATGGCGATGACCTCGGTATTGTACCTACTCGTGACAACCCTTTCAATATTACACGAATAGGCAAATTTTCTCCTTTTGAACAATCCCGTGTTTATTTTATGATAGATTTAATGACAAAACCCATCTCATATGGCCCCAAAGGTACTCTCCTGTCCTGAGATTAAAATCGGATAAGTGTGTACAATGAAGGTACAGAAAATAGTATGGACGCAATTCCGAATTCTATGCTCGAAAAACAGTGTAATAAATAGTGGCGTAATAATATGGGTTGTCAAACGGTACAAGTATCAGGTTTGGCAGGAAGGGTGTTGATATGAGGTTTATAAACGAATATGAATTCAAGGAAGGGGGTTTAAACATAGCAACTACCTCCAATGTTATTCGCGATTGAAAGTATCTGTAGACGTAATAGCTGTGAGTTCGCAAACGTTTCTGGCAAAGCTTAGTGTAACGGGGTGAGAGCCCGTTACCGTCTTACACTAATAATTAAGCTGAGGAAGCGCTGTGATTTATAAGGTAAATTTAACTCTGTTTGTATTTTTGTGTTTTTATAATTCGCAGTAAGTGCGAATATGTTCCCTAGCTCATGGGAACCACTCAAATACAGAACTAATTATTATTGGCTAATTATTGGGTCTGGCACCCCAATAATAAACCAATAATAAATAGACGCGCAGTATCCGCTATCCGGATACTGCCTACACTTAATGTATGTAATTATGTAATAAAACTATGACTACTTAATATAATGGGTTGCCCCATTACATCACCCCCCTCTTTAAGTTGCGCTTACCGTGACGTAAGCGCCATACACAGAAAGTTTCTTCTTAACGAATAGTCCAACGAAAAGCCCAACGAGAACTCCAACGACACGTCATCTTGGTCTTCGAATCTGCTCAGCCACAAACAACTGAGCAGCATGAATCCTGAACACCCACGCGACTCGACCCCAAACGACAGTTGGGGTCATCAGACACTTCGAAGAGAGCGTGCACCGCAGACCATGGATGACGACTTGAAGCCGTGGGGCTTGTACAGCCTTGAAGGCGCGCACCAACCTGAATCACTTGAGACCATGAAGAATCTCTTCACACGATACCGTAACGTTCGAGGCAAGGGAACGAATCACACATACACTGAAGACGCACTGCAACGATCTTGGTGTGCCTTCATCAGACGTTGGAACGCGAGTCGACGTGAAGGGGCATCCTTCACGTCCTGGATCGAGGGACGCGAAAGTACTCATGGCGACCACGCTATTGGCGACTTACGACGACGCGTATGTCATTTGACTCGTGATGGGTTCCACATGTGTTACGTCCATGTCCGTGAAGGGTGTCCACGGTGTCACATGGAGAGACCGCGACCAATGCGGCAGGAATGGGACGACATGGTGTGTGCACGGGGAATGCCCCAGCACATCCGACCATGGATCGGACGCTATGAGAGGAGACTCTCAGAGCTCCAAGTATCTGCGTTGCGTCACATGAGGGAACGCCCTGTCGATCAATGGAGGCGTTCACGTAGTCGAGATCGTTTGTCTTACGACCACCGAGGTCGTTCTCGTAGTCGCTCTCGACCGTCAAGGTATCCGAATGCTCCCGAGCCTCGTAGAAGACGTCGGAGTCGCTCGGGAGATCGTCGTCGATCGCCAATTCACGCACGTTACGGTTCGCGGGATCGTGGAAGGAGTCAGCAGCGTCGGTCGCGTTCGCCGACCTCTTACTGGTCTCGTACTCCTCAACGACGTCAGGAACATCGTGAGCCAGCATACTTCGAGGCTCCCACGTGTCTTCCGTTGGTGAATAACCCAACCATCGGACCTTGTAATGCGTTTCTGAACGACTCTTCGATGGCGCCGAGCCACTACTCGGCGCAAGAGGCGTGGGGTCTTCATGACCGACGATACGGTCCACAATCCAGCGTCGCTCACCCGATGCATCTACCAAGGGAGGAGGAGCATCACGACGGAAGGCTTCTTGGGTTGGGCGCCGATTCTCATGATCGGGCGCCTGTGCCGTCGAGTGACGAGCTTCGTTTCCTTCGTGCTGACACTGAAGAGGCGATGAACGGCCTTCTGGATGCCCGTGAGATGGCCGAGAGGGCTCGAGATCGTGCAGCAGCTGCGACAGAGGCTGCCGAGAGAACCCGACGGGAGCAGCAGGGCTTGGTGGAGCGTCTGCGACAGCTCGAGACTGCTGCGTTCGGTGGACCCCAGCAGAACGAGTCTGCTCGCGCTCGTCTAGGACTTGGTCTCAGTCGTCGTCAGCGTCGTCGGCAGGGGGTGTCGGACTTTGAGCCGATACAGACGAGTGAGGAAGGACCAAAGGGAGATCCGCCGGCAGGTAAGCCTTGAGGCGCCCGACATAGAATGTCGGGTGCAAACGCATAGTGGTAGGTATGTCTAGCGTGTAAGCATCTCCATGGACTTGAACAATCCGAAAGGGCCCAATATATCTTGGCGCTAATTTATTAGCGCCCAAATTCGTTACTGACGTGTCTGGTAATCCGCTTGTCGATAGTAAGACTCTGTCACCTTCTTTGAACGTCAGCAGGTTCTTTCGACCTCGCTTGTCCGCGTTCTCCTTTTGTTTATCCACTGCTTCTTGGAGTGCATCGCGTACAAAACGCGTGATACTTTGCCGTAGTAATAGGAATTCGGTCACAGCAGCCGAACTTACAGGAGAAGTGGACTCTTTAGGAGCAAAATTAGCGACGGCAGACGCGATGGGATGCATCGCGTCGGGACTCGATATGCCATTGGCCACGAAATTAACAGTATGAGTTGCATCGGCAGCAACCTTGTCTTCAACATTACCAATCATCAAAATTTTTCGCGTAGTGTCATCGGGAGATACTCCCCCACCAAGCTGAGAAACTGGGTGTGCTGAAGCTGAAAGAGCAAGAAGCGCTGGAACGCGAGGGTGCCTCGCGTTATTCACGAAAAATGGCGTTAACCCAGTCAACGCATGAATTGCGTTGTTGATTGCAAATTCAGCGAGAGGGAGAAACGAACTCCACGACTGGAACGATGTCGCATAACTGCGTAGTACATCTTCAAGCACTGTGTTCACGCGCTCTGTTTGCCTATCCGTCTCTGGATGGGCTGCCGTAGACATAAGCAGTCGCGTGCCCAATAGTTGAAACAACGTTGCCCAAAAAGCTGATGTAAAGCGCGGGTCGCGGTCCGAAACAATTGATTCAGGTAAGCCGTGATGTCGAAATATGAGATCGATGAAGATCTGCGCGGTCGTCTCCGCCGTAACGTGCGCGGAGACTGGAGCAAAATGCACCATTTTGCTAAATCGATCCACAAAAACCAATACGCCCGTGCGTTTCTGTTCGTCCGGAGGGAGACCAAAGATGAAATCCATGCTGACCGAACGCCAGGCTTCCGTGGCAATCGGAAGCGGACGCAATGGAGCTTGTGAAGACGGCGCAGGCTTCACACGCTGGCATATTTCACAAGAGCGTACCCATTTCTGGATGTATTTGTACATACGCGGCCAGAAAAACACACGAGAGATGGCCGCGAACGTCTTCTCGCGACCCAAATGACCACCAGTTGGAGTGTCATGAAATTCATGCACCAATCGTGCGCGGAGGTCGTCATCAGCAGGGATGACGACGCGCGGTGGATCGAAAACGTCCATTGTATAAGTCAGCAGCGGACCATCAAGCGCGTACCGCTTGATGTTGTCACGCGTTGGTTTCGTCAACTTCGCGAGTGAACCCTCACTAGGGTGTCGAAGATAATTGATGATTCCCGTGTAGAATGAATCGTTCGCATATGACTCAGCGATTTGAGTCCGGATTGACAGCTCAGGTGTCGAAATCATTGCATTGAGCCCCTGCTCAGCACAGCATAAACAAATGTCGTCGTCCTCTTCTTCAGCAATGCCTGGCTGATGACCCATGTCACGTCGAGGATCATAATCTGGACGTCGAGAAAGCGCGTCAGCAAGAATGTTGTTCTTGCCGGGTTTGTAAAAGACCACGAAAATATACTCTGAGAAGTATGACAACCAACGTGCCATACGCTGGAACAAGTGGGGAGTCTTGACGGCGGTACGCAATGATGCGTGATCTGTATAGACCGAAAACATCTTCTCGCCGAGCAAATATACTCTGAACTTGATCAGCGCGTAACGCATAGCCAAAAGTTCCTTGTCATGTACCGGATAGTTCCGCTCTGCGGGTTTTATCTGTCGTGACTGAAAGCTCACGACGCGCTCTCGGCCCTCATCGTCAAACTGCATGAGGGCACATCCAATAGCGAAATTACTCGCATCACAGACGACGTGAAATGGCTTGGAATCATCAGGCAACATCATCACTGGTGCTTCAGACAAGCTCTTTTTCACAGAGTTGAAGGCAGAGTGATGTTCAGCTTTCCATGACCAAACCGCGTCTTTCTTCAGTAGAGTCGATAGTGGCTGGATTAGTTCTGCATAGTTCTTCGTATACTTATGCAAGTAATTGGCCAAGCCAAGCCATTGGCGTAGTTCCGTTTGGTTCCTGGGCGTAGGCCATGAACATATCGATGACACTTTCTCGGGTTCAGCATGGACACCTTCCTTGCTAACATAGCATCCAAGAACTGGAATCTCGGGAGCGCAGAAGACGCACTTCTTCAAATTTGCGTACAGTTTGTTCTCGCGCATCACTTGGAACACCTGTTTCAAATGCCGAAGGTGGACCTCCGTAGCGCTGAGTTGTTGCTCAGCGCGGCTGTGAACAAAAATATCGTCGAAATAACTTGGAGCGAAATCACGTAGTGGCCGAAGCACTTGTGTCACCATCCGGTTGAACGTTGCTGGAGCGTTCTTAAGGCCTTGTGGCATGACTAGCCACTCCCAAAGCATGCCACTCAGCGTGCTGACAGCGGTGAACGGGATATCACTGTCCCTCATTAAAATCTGGTAAAACCCGTCTGTCAGGTCTATGGCGCTAAAAGTCTCGCTGCCGGACATGGTATCCAGTACCATGTCTTTCCGAGGAATTGGTGTTTGAGCCGGGATCGTGGCGTCATTCAACTTGTTAAAAGCATGCACGATGCGCCAACCGCCGGTGGCTTTCTTCACACAGAAAGTCGGACTCGAATGTGGCGATATGCTTTCGCGGACGTGTCCTGCCTTACGGCGGCCCTAAAAAAATTCATCAATTGCGATGACTTGGTCACGCGGTAGCGGCCACTGCCGCGTCACGCAATACTTCGATCCTGGCACGAGATCGATCTCGTGTCGCACACCACGATCCGCTGGAAGCTCAGCGGGGATATTCTCCGGAAAGATGTCGGCATACTCACGCGCGATATCATAGACAGGGTTGCCCGAAGCACGAAGGGCTTCCCAAGACTGTGCCACGAAACGTTCTTCGCGCGCTGATTTGGGCTCAGCGCTCTTTGGGCGAGCCTCCAGAACTTCTCCACTAGCTGCTTCGGCGGCTGATATGATGCACACTTGCTCGATGTCGCCGGCCTTGAGGTCGTGAAGAAAATCTTTCCATGGTAGGGTTAATAGAGATGTGATCTCTGCAACAGTGCACGGAGGGCTCGCTACCTCAACGTAGCGGCCACGATGTGAAGACCCTTCCACATAATCAAGCGCACAAACGGATTCCGTCAATACAGTATCATCGTCAACGGCGCTTGAGCGAGAATTTCGTCGTCTTGGTGATCGGCGTGCACCTTTCTTGCGTTTACGCTTTCTCTTGCGTCTTGAGCCACTGCTCGAGGCTGGAACGTCGCTGTCGCTGGAGGATGAAGTACCCCTCACTAGACGTGGGAGCTCTGTCTCCACCACGTCGTTCACATTTAAGTCCACAGCCCGTTCATTCTCGTCGATAAGAGGCGGGAGCTCGTCTTCGACCGCCTCAGATGTATGTGGGAGCCTCTGCTCGACCACCTCGGTTACAATCGGGAGCCTCTGCTCGGCCGTTGTGTGTGTATGCGGGAGCCCCTGCTCGACCGCCTCGCTAGAACTCGGGAACCCCTGCTCGACCGAAGTCCGTGTGTGCGGGAACCCCTGTTCTACCGCCTCGTTGTGAATCGGGAGCCCCTGCTCGACCGATGTCCGTGTGTGCGGGAACCCCTGTTCGACCGCCTCGTTGTGAATCGGGAGCCCCTGCTCGACCGATGTCTGTGTTTGCGGGAACCTCTGTTCGACCGCCTCGTTGTGAATCGGGAGCCCCTGCTCGACCGATGTCTGTGTTTGCGGGAACCTCTGTTCGACCGTCTCGTTGTGAATCGGGAGCCCCTGCTCGACCGATGTCTGGGTTTGCGGGAACCTCTGTTCAACCGCCTCGTGTTGTGGTTCTATCAGTGTGACTGAACATACCGGACACAGAGGGCCATCGCTCTCTCTGTGCTGACTTCTAGTCGTGGCGAGTTCGTTCACGACCCTGACGTGAGGCCAATCGGATGGCGCTACCAACAGATGAGTGAAAACTTCACTTACGTCGTAACCGCTTCGTCGTTTGACGGACCGAGATAGCCAGTCTATCGTCGGCTGATATCGTGACAGCCACGGTATCCCCAAGATGCAATCGAATGCATAATTCATCTCGTACACCAAAAATTCGTCATTACTTTGGAAGCCGTCGAACGTGTACGGCAAAACCACTGTTTTACGCGGGACACGCTGTGGTTGTCCATCAGCAAGTTTGACAACGATGTCACCTGGACCTTCTCGAACCGTAACTGTCGACGGGAGAAGGGACAAACATGATGCTCGAAAGAAGTTGTTGGATGCACCCGAATCCAACAGCGCTCGAAGTGGTCGTTTAACTCCAGCAACGATGAGACTGATAATTATCAGTCTCGAATCGTCGCGCATAGTGGTGGCATTGAATTGAAGTATGTATGTATTACTTTAGGGCTAGGAGCCCGAGCTGCCACCTGAGTACTCGGGGCTCCATTACTGCCAGTAGGGCGCCCCGCACCTACTGGAACCGCTCGTTTTTTGGCGGGACCACTGACGACACAGTATCTCCACGTGAGACAGCTGTGTTCATGGACACCGGCGCTGGTGCTCGGCAGACGGCCGCACGATGGCCAGTCTTGCCGCACCGATAACACTTCATCGTGTTTTGACTTCGAATGTCGCGGCCAAATTGCTTGCCGCGACCACGAGATGCATCGATAACGTCAATTTCCATAGGCTCTGGGCCAGACGTACGCGGGCGTTGCGACGCTTCCTGCAAATATGACGATGCGACCGTGTAATCTTCACGAAGCGGGAGGGCAAATGCCTCCTCAAGAGTCTTAGGTTCAGCACGTGTGAGGCAATAGCGGGTCATGCCCTCTTGCATACCAAAGACAAAGACATGAACTTGCGAAGCCATGTCGATCGGCTGCGTGATGATACACGAAGCAAGATGTCGCGTCTTCTGTACGTAATCACGCATCGACAGCTTGCCCTGTCGAAGTGAAAAGAAATCTGCGCGCAAGCGTGACTCATCTTGAGGGGGCTCGAACGCCAGTCGTAAGTCGCGCTGGATATCGTCCAGCATGGGGAATGCCAACTCGTTTACAACGAGCTTCCCAAGAGCCCATTCTTTGGCTTTACCAACAAGCCGAGACAGTAGGAAATTAACCTTGGCCGTCGGAGCGTCAATCAACCTTGACGCTATGGCGATATCAATCTCCCTAAACCAGCGACTAAGGGGGAGACGATCTGGACCATCACCAGAGTATGTCGACGTCTCCATTTTAATTGCATCGTAATGGGAGGGGCGCGAGGGAGTATGTACTCGCCGGTTAGCTTCGGCGAGCTCGCGCACCATGTAGTCTTGAATGGCGGCACGGTGTTGTTCATACGTCGCTGTGCTCAGCAGCGACGTCACGAAGATTTCACCAGACACCGCCGCGAGGCGGTGTAATGCCTGCCATTCTACCGTAGTGAGATGGGGAAAATCTGCATGCTCCAGCGAAACTGCTGGAGCCATCGAAGATTCACTCATATCCATCTCGAACTTGGTCATGGGAAGGACTACGAAGTGCTACCAGGTGTAACGGGGTGAGAGCCCGTTACCGTCTTACACTAATAATTAAGCTGAGGAAGCGCTGTGATTTATAAGGTAAATTTAACTCTGTTTGTATTTTTGTGTTTTTATAATTCGCAGTAAGTGCGAATATGTTCCCTAGCTCATGGGAACCACATAAATACAGAACTAATTATTATTGGCTAATTATTGGGTCTGGCACCCCAATAATAAACCAATAATAAATAGACGCGCAGTATCCGCTATCCGGATACTGCCTACACTTAATGTATGTAATTATGTAATAAAACTATGACTACTTAATATAATGGGTTGCCCCATTACACTTAGTATAAAATTACGCTAATGAGCGCATGAGAACGATTGCAAACTATATTAAATTACACATGAGAACGATTGCAAACTATATTAAATTAGGTTTAGTTAGATGTTAACAGATGAGGGATGTAATGAGCCGTCCGTTTGATTTGCAGTTCTGATTAAGTCTAAAATGTTATTCAGGTAGGGGACATACTTTCGAGTGAGCGGAAGTAGCACGACGTACATTTTAGCTTGTTTGATGATGTTGGTCCCCTTTATAGTCGGTAAGAAATTGCCATGTAGATTAAAGTGGTTTTTATGAGGCCAAGGAAACCATTCGTACTTACAATGACAAAATGCAGAAATATAACAAGTACAAAAATAGTAAACACCTAAAATCTGGGCTTTGGTCCCTCCTAAAAGATTAGATAGCGTAGGCTAAATACAGGTATTTCTATCCCCATCACAGTGATACAATACCTCCAGGCAGGTATATAAATTAGCCCATCTTGTAACATTATTTTAATCTGAGATAATTTAACTAGAATATTGAGGGGAGATCAACGGTTCCCTAAATACTTTGACTGCCTAACAAGTTAATATGTATGTGTGTGGGAGGACTGGACCGATTTCAGTCGAAGGTTGCATAACACTCAGCCCGACCATTATCTTGAGATGTTTATGCAAACTTGATGTTGTCAAGGGCAGTGTGTATGTGTCCAAAACGTGCACAAGAAAACTTCTTAAAATCAATTGAGGCCATCCTGTTTATTATGTGGCCGTCGAAATCAACTGCCCTGGCACACAATCAGACATCTCACCTTCGAGACATAAATTGCTTTACCAACAAGTGCATATTTTAAGAAAACTAGGTCCCATAATAAATGTATTAGCCAAAAACAAGTTGTAGTACAAGAACGCATCGCAGACTACTCAATCCTTTTTGATTGACCAGCAGAACTATCACAACTCACTAGCCTTACCATCTAAAAACGGGGCCCTTTTCATACGCTTGTTAGGTCCTATAAAAGCTACGCAATATTAAACGGCATGTAATGCGAATTGGGTTCCTGCTTTGTGTAAATATACTCACAAAACGGCGGAGAGCGATAGCACAAATGACATATAATGTATTAAAGGATGCCATATTTCGCATTCTTGAGTCTTAAGACAGGGCGTGTTTCCTGCTTAACTTTGTTTGCCTGCTATAGTATCAGCACGATTAACGCTGCATCACGCTGCCGCAACCAAACGTCATTTCTTTATTTTAGTTGACAAATATACGCGTTGCATACTATAGCAGCAATTTATCCGCTGGAAATAATGGAGATGCTATCAGCACTGAGCAAGTCGATGACTTGGTTGCAGCAAGCTAGTGAGAAATTTAAAAATTTTGATGAAGAGGGCTGACTGTCAGAAAAATGTGTAAGTGAGCTCCCCCTGCGCGAAAAGCGCTTCTTAATCAAAGCTAACGTAAATCGTTAGTCTGGTGCGCTCAAGTTAATGTTCAAGTACAATGACCGAAATCTTAATTCGTAAAGCAGGCGTAAAATCTAGTTACATCTCCGAACATCCACATTCGTTCACCATCGCATGCATATTTCAAAAAAATTTCATCTCCGCAACACTTTTCACTTTATCCACCACACCTTAGCTTTTGTTCTGATAATACAGGCGCGCTACGCCACTACACATAACCAAACGTCCACATCAGACAATCGCCCTTTCAATTAAGACCTCCTATCGGCGCACGTCCAATTTACTTATAAACCGCCAGTGATGAATTTTAAACATCCGATAATAAGATTTTTTTCATAGTCGTGCGCGGCTTGCCGCTCGATCTGCTGAGAAATAACAAGCAATCCTTGCCTTTAAGTATCATAAGTTTTTACTGTAAATGGTTTTGTGCAATTCAGTACGTCTCGGGAAGCAGCTTTAATGTGTTTAGATCGCTTGCTGCCTCGATTACTTCTAGTACAGAAAAGCACGATTTTATCTTCCTCTCTCTCGGGTAAAAGATAACACAAGAACGCACATTATTTACAACTTTATAGCTTACTGCAGACACTGGACCGTCAGACGCGCATCCAGTGGGATTCTAAGAGCCGCTGTATATTATGTCGCGTTCTTTAGCAATGCTATGCCCTGGGTCTTCCCGCGTACGCGTTTCTTGGCCTTCTTATGAAAGTTGGTAGGGATCTACACCTTGAGTGATACATCCTTCACTCGTTGTCGCCAGAAAATACGTCATCGAGGTTGTCTCCACATCAGATGCAATCATCTCCGATTCATAGTATTGTCTCACTATTCCACCTTTTACTCTTGTCACTCCCTATTCGTGTAGCGGGCCCTGGCGGTTACGTAATTGTTGGTTGAGCTTATTGCCCGGCTTATGTACCGGATGGCAAAGCGACAGAGGCGTTATTTTGAGCAATGTATGTCATTTATGTTGTGTAAATGGTGTATCCTTTGGGCTGCAACTCGAAATTGGATACCTTAAGCGCACAATATAGCCAGGGGCAGGTAGGTTAATGTGGTAAAGAACACAAATTAGCTACTTTCGACAAATTCCCGAACTTTGTATCGATGTTTCAGCTACGAGAGTCTATTTAATACCCGAATGCAAGAGCGTGTAATAGTTTGTTAACGTGAAGGGGAAGGCCTATAGTTACTTATTCAAAAGTTATGGTGTGATTGAAATATCAGAAAGTGTGGTGGAAATAACAATTTCCTGTATTTGCTCATCTCTTTTGATTGTGTGTTTTCAAATTCATCTTTGATTCGGACATTAAAGTATAACCACCGACCAGTTTAGTGCACTAAAACAACTTGGTTTTTATATTGATCTGGCTTTTTAGCTTCTTTCGAAAGCAACCCTAGACCGTTGAGGCGCAATGTTTGTCAATGTGATTTAATTTGAAAGTATAATTAAACGTTAAGGTTATCAATTATTAGCACTTAAGTGGAATAAAACTCATTGATATGGGATGCTAGCGAAATACATCCTAAGTGCGTCACATATGGAGCCATTAATGACCTCTCTACCTCCGCTCTCGGATCGATAATACCGGTATCGTGCACGCTGTAGTGGTTTGGTGCTGGTGTTGATACCGGCACGCAAAATCAAACTGACAATGTGCACACATTAACTGAAAATTAAGGACAAGCATTTACGTCGTGCGAGTGTGAAACTGGAAAAGCCAAATGTGTTTGGCGCCTAATAAACAGCTGAATAATGTTAAGTATGTAGGACATGGATGTTTAACAAATTTTTCTTTCTGGCCTTTCGGCATCAAGAAATACTCGAGTCATTTTTTCGTTTGGCAAACTTGGCTAAATGGCACAAAAGCTGATCGGAGAGCACCAAATTAAGACTTTACGCTACCGAAAAACTTGCCCCTCGTAATAAGAGTGCTTACAAAAGGCAAGTTTTTACTGCTTCCTATAAATCTTGGATGTGTTGCTAAGCTGGTATACAAAAGCTGCTTAATAATATTTTTTTAGATCAAAGATAGCCACACACTGCTACGGA